TGGTCTCCGTAGTTGTAGTGGTTCGTGTGGGTATACTATGCTCTGTTGTTGTTATTGTCGTTGTGGGTGTTGAAGTCTCTGTTGTGGGTGTTATGGTCACTGTGGTTGTTGGTGTAGGTGTTGTGGTCTCCGTGGTAGTTGTTGTGGGAGCTGTGGTCTCTGTGGTTGTACCTGTGGGTGTGGGTGTCGTGGTCTCTGGTGTGGGTGTTGTTGTCTCTGTAGTTGTGATGGTTGGTGTGACTGTAGTACTCTCTGTGCTTGTGATAGTCAGTGTGGGTGTTGAGGTCTCTGTTGTGGGTGTTGTGGTCACTGTGGTGGTGGTTGTCGCTGTAGGTGTTGTGGTCTCTGTGGTAGTGGTTGTGGGAGTTGTGGTCTCTGTGGTTGTACCTGTGGGTGTGGGTGTTGTGGTCTCTGTGGTGGTGGTGTAAGTGGGTGTTGTTGTCTCCGTAGTTGTGGTGGGTGTGGGTGTTGTGGTCTCTGGTGTTGTTGTTGTCTCTGTTGTTGTGGTCATTGGTGTGGGTGTTGTGGTCTCTGTGGTTGTGATCGGTGTGGGTGTTGTTGTCTCTGTAGTAGTAGTGGTTTGTGTGGGTGTAGTACTCTCTGTGGTTGTTATTGTCAGTGTGGGTGTTGAGGTCTCCTGTGTGGATGTCGTCACTGTGGTTGTGGTGGTGAGTGTAGGTGTTGTGGTCTCTGTGGTAGTGTTTGTGGGAGTTGTGGTCTCTGTGGTTGTACCAGTGGGTGTGGGGGTTGTGGTCCCTGTGGTGGTGGCTGGTGTAGGTGTTGTCTCTGTAGTTGTTGTGGATGTGGGTATTGTAGTCTCTGTGGTAGTGGTGATGGTGATGGTAGGAGCTGTGGTCTCTGTGGAATGGGTGATGGGTGTGGGTGTTGTGGTCGCTGTGCTTGTGGTAGGTGTGGGTGTTGTTGTCTCTGTAGTTGTGGTGGTTGGTGTGGGTATAGTACTCTTTGTTGTTGTTACTCTCAGTGTGGGTGTTGACGTCTCTGGTGTGGGTGTTGTGGTCACTGTGGTTGTGATTGTTGGTGTAGGTGTTGTGGTCTCAGTGGTAGTGGTTGTGGGAGTGGTGGTCTCTGTAGTTGTACCTGTGGGTGTGGGGGTTGTGGTCTCTGTGGTTGTAGTGGGTGTAGGTCTTGTCTCTGTAGTTGTTGTGGGTGTGGGTGTTGTAGTCTCTGTGGTAGTGGTGGTGGTGGTGGTGGGAGTTGTGGTCTCTGTGGTATAAGTGATAGGTGTCGGTGTTGTTGGCTCTGTAGTTGTGGTGGTTGGTGTCGATGTAGTACTCTCTGTGGTTGTGATAGTCAGTGTGGGTGTTGAGGTCTCTGGTGTGTATGTCATAGTCACTGTGGTTATGGTGGTTGGTATAGATGTTTTGGTCTCTGTGGTACTGGTTGTGGGAGTTGTGGACTCTGTGATTGTAACAGTGGGTGTGGAGGTTGTGCTCTCTGTGGTTGTGGTGGGTGTGGTCTTTGTAGTTGTGGTGGGTGTGGGTGTTGTAGTCTCTGTGGTTGTGGATATGGATGTGGGTGTTGTGGTTTTTGTGGTTGTACTGGTTGGTGTGGGTGTTGACGTTACCGTGGAGATGGGTGCTGGTGTTGAAGTCTCCTGGGTGATGGTTGAGGTGATGGTGGTCGGGCTGGTGGAGACAGATGTGAAGATGCACGGCCCACAGCACTCAACGTTGATTTCATAGTTAGTACAGAAGGGCTGTGGAATGACTCCACCTAGACTTTGATTTTCATTTCTGCACACCAGCCCCACAGAGATGTTACACGTCACATTCTGTCCAAGCTGTTCAATTGGAGTGTCAGGATACACTACCGCTCTGCAGGAGATATTATTGGGTTGCCAGGTAGGTGGACAAACACCTTCAATCCGTTCAAAATCTCCCCCTGACTTCACAAATGAGGGTTTACCAGAATCCAGCCAGCCAGTCCATCTGCAATCTATACACATGGTTGGGTGTGAGATTGAGGTTGATACAGTTGGTGAAGTAGTAATCGTGGTTGTTGAATGAGGAGGTGTAGCTGTTGATGGTGTGGAAGGTGTGGTCACTGGTGAAGCGGTAGAGGAGGTTGTAGGTGAAGAGGTAGAGGTGGAGATTGGTGATGTAGTTGGAGGAGTAGACATCGTAGTTAGTGGAATAGTTGGTGTGGTGGTTGGTGACGTGATCGGCGTGGTAGTTGGTGACGTAATTGGTGTGGTGGTTGGCGTGGTTGGAGTGGTGGTTGTTGGCATGGTTGTGGTGGTGGTCAGTGGTTTGGTCAGTGTGGTAGTCCATGGAGAGGTGGTTGGGCAGAATTCCATTGGCAGGCAACAATTGACTCGTATCTCATAGTCATAACACAGTCCAAATGGTCCATTTTCAAACTGCTCTTCGTTCTTGCAAAGGAACCCAAAGGAGACATCACACTGGACTTTCTGGCCCAGCTCCTGCAAGCTGAGGTGAGGATCAGTGGCCGACCTGCACTCGATGTCCTCAGGAGCACTGCAGACGCTGTCAAAAGTCTCACGGTCCCCACCATCAGTGCCCTTGCTAGGGTGGTCCTCGTTGATCCAGTCTGACCAGAAGCAGCATGACCCTGGGGACACAAAGCCCAGCACTGGTCACTCCTATCTGGGAAGAGGCACCTCCAGAGAGGTCACTGTGACATGGAGGACTCAGCAACCTCCATGACTCCCCCAGGCACGGCTGCCCTGCCTCTCCCTCCACACCATCACTCTGGAACCAGGTTGTAGGGTCAGGGTTTAGCACCAAACACCGTTTCTGCTGTGTCTATCACAGATAGACTGAGGCCTGGGAGGAGGCCCAGTATGCCTGCGTGTCAGCCCCGGTGTAGAAGCTCTGCCTCAGCACTCTGCACAGATGTCTTTAAATCTTTGTCTCAAAACAATGACTAACAAAAGGGCCGCCCACCAACAGGGAAGTGTGGCGGGGTTCATCTCCTGGCCAACGGTGTGCCACCCACTCTGCCCCAGACCTGGTTGCCAGTCCAGGCTTGGCACACAGTGAATAAGGTCCCCCAGGACATCTGGCTGGCTAGTGGAGGCACCCACGTGGCCTCCGCTGATCCTGAAGGCAGCCTCCCAGGAGGCACTAGCAAGATCTGCTTTCCTTGCCCCATTTATCAGTGGGAAGCTGTGGCTTGTTCCATGGTAGCTGTGATTCCACCCAGCACAAACACAGAGTTTCACCCTCACCCTTAGAAACATTTTCCCCAAACTCAGTTTGCAGCCAATTTGCACAACAGAGGCTATCTCGGCCAGCCCAGGGGTGTTGGGCTGAGTGAGCCCCAAGGAGGGCCTTACATCCCGTGGTGGTGCTGGGGGCACTGGTAGTGGTGAGCGGGGTGGTGGGCGTGGTGGGGACTGAGGTGGAGGTGGTCAGTGTGGACGGGCGCGGTGTGGTGGACGGAGTTAGCGTGGTAGATGGGCAGACGTTGAAGTCCTCATGCACTGTCCCATTGGGGCCACAGGTCACATTGTAGCAGAAGAGGCCATCCTGGGTAGAGTTGAGGACTTTCCCTGCAGGTGGGAGAGAGACAGACTGTTGAGGCCTCCAGGCTGTCCCTCCTGGCCCTCCATTTGAAGGGACCCCTCAGACACAGGATGGATCAGATCTTGGCAGAAATTCCCGGCAGGACGCCAGCGCCCAGAGAGAACAGCAGGGTGGCGTGAACTCTGCAGCACTGCGGCCCAGCACAGCAGGCTGAGGAAGCTGGCACCAGGGCAGAGCCCAGCAGCAGGGCAGCACCCAGCAACTCACCTACATCCCACGAGCAGTTCACCTGGGAGAAGTTGTTGCACTCGCTACAAAACAAACACACACATGGCTGCAGATCCTCTCTGGCCCATCCACAGACATCCCCCACAAGGCCCAGCCAAAAGCTGCGGCACAGCCCAAGGGCCAACTTGAAAGAAGCCACCCCATGGGAGAGGGGACAAGGCACTTCCACACATGTGTCCACACATGTGTACCTGTGCACGGTATGTTCCGATGTGTGTGCATGGATGTGTGTGCATGTGCACCTGTGCCTGTGTGGCTATGTCTGCATGTGTGCACACATGTGCGTGTGTTTGTGTCTTCAGGCCCTGAGTAGTGTGGTACCAGATCTTGCAGATATCATTGGTGGGAAGCGATGTTCCTGGCGGGTAGTGGGTGTCCTCGACATAGCAGCCACACCGGTCCCCAGTGACACACAGCTTCAGGTCCTCGTCGTAAATGGGCTTGTCCTTAGGGCACCGAGGGTAGCAGCCTAGCAGGCACAGGGCATGGGGTGTGAACCACCATGGGAGACCCCAGCTGCCTGGGTCCCCATCAGCCTCACCCCACAGGCACTTCCCCTGGGGTCCCCAGCACAGCATCACCTGGCTACTGAGGGGTATGCCCAAAGCGGCTTCTCTGCCTCTCCACAAAGGCAGGGCTTTCACTCAGGCTCTAAGACACTGTCCACGAACAAACCCAGGGCCCAGGTCTCCGGGTGTCCCCAAGGCCTGCCAGCCTGCTCTCACCCTCCAAGTAGGACACGGAGATGTTGGAATGGATGCCATTGATGGTCCTGCAAGTCTCGAAGCTGCGGTTCCCACACGGCTCATAGTGCCACTCACACTCGTCAGGGGGGTTGTAGTAGTCACAGAATATGGCTGGGGTGTGGCAAGGGGCACAGGGATGAGGTTAGATGTGGGAGCACAAGTGGACCCAAGGCGAGGGGGCTATGGGCAGGATGTGTCCCACCAGCTCCTGCCAACCCAGTGCTGGGGCGGCCTGAGGAACAATGCCCAGAAGGGCGGGAGGTGTGGGACACACATGCCATCACCCAGATGGGGTGCGTGCAGACCCCACGGCGACTGCAGCCCAGGGTGGCGGGCACTCACGGCACAGATCCGGCGTCCTCCAGAACACGCAGGCCTCCGCCTTGGTGCACTCCTGGGCATAGGAGGCCACGGCAGAGCAGAAGCATTCGCAATCCCCGCCGGAATCGCACGAGCAGGAGTCGTGCACACAGGCCTCATAGAAGACCGTGGGGTCCACCTGGAGGAGGGGAGGGCACCGTTACCCAGCGCGCGTCCCCAGGGCCAGGGTGGCTGAGGATGGGGCAGGAGCGTCCAGAGAGAATGAGGCAGGCAGTAGCTCCATCACCCAGCCCTGGAGGCCTCCGGCCCCAGCTACACGGCACCGCTAAGGCTGGCCCTGCCCTAAAGCCTGCAACTGGGGCCCTTCTGGGGCTAGAAGGTTAGGTTCTTCCTCTCTCTGGTGACTGTGGGCCAGGGAAAGTAGAGAGAGGCTAGGATGCCGCCGTAAGTCTCAGACAGAAGGCTGGTCATGTGGCCAGATGTCCAAAGAAGCAAACAGAGCCACGGCTGAAGGACAAGTGTACCACAGCAGGGCTGCTAGGTGACTCAGAACAAGCAGCAGGAGTGCAAGCCCTGCCCACCACACCCACGGCCACGCCCTTCTCTTGGCCACGCCCACTGCCCTCCGCAGCAGTTTCCTGGGCTCCAAGCAGGCTCCACCCCAGACACTGAGCTGTGCCTGAGGCAGTTCCCCCCATCCCTTGAGCCCAGCGCAGGGGTCCCCGACGGGCAGCCCTGGCCTTAACCCGCCCGCACCTTGCTGTGGCACACAGCGAACACGGAGCTCTTGATGATGCTGCACTGCTTCTCGGCCCAGGAGCGGCGGTGCGGATTCAGGCTGCAGGGGTCGGGGGTGGCAGCCACATCTGGGCAGGTGGAGGCCTCCTTCCAGCTGTTCCCGAAGTCCAGCTCGCTGCTCACCACCATGTGGTCCCGTGTGGTGAAGTCGTTGCTGGTGCGGTCGTCGAAGTTCCCACACAGCCCGCACACGGAGCCCTGGGGACACGCGCCAGGGAGGTTGAGGACGGCTGGCTGGGTGGCCGGCCGCGCAGGGGCTCAGGAGGCCGGCCCGGACCCACCTTGTAGGAGGGAGCCAGCTTGATGAAGACGGTGGTCTTCTTGTCCCAGATCACGATGACACCTGTGCTGGCCTCCACCACCAGGTACTGGCCCACCTCTCGCGTGGTGAAGGCCACGCGCTGGCCCTCCTCCAGCTGAATCACCTTGTGGTGCTTGTCCTCCAGCTTTAGCTCCATCCTCTGCAGGAGGAGACGCTGGTCACCATCCCTGTCTACGGGTCCCCACAGGCCCGCCATGCCCTGGGGTGACCCACTCACCCCTATGAAGATCTTGATAGACTTAGAGCAGGTGACACCAGTGGTGCCACAGGGGACATTCTCGGTGACAATGCTGAAGGAGCCTGTAGAGTTCTGGCCACAGTAGTCCTGGGGGCAAGTGGGGTAGATGCAACTGGGTACCAAGACATGGTGGCCAGCAAGAACCAGCCACCAGTGAGCGGAACCAGGCAGCCTTCGGCACCTTTGCCTCTGTCCATCTGCACAGCCCAGCCCTGCACTGACTCAGGCTTCGCCCGGCCTCAGGCCCTCTTCTGTCGGCTGATGCTGGGGATAACCTGCCACCCAGGGGTGCAGGCTGGGGCTGGGGTACTTGCTGGCCAGCAGAACTCCACGCACAGAGACCCGCTCCCCAAAGCGCAGGCGGGAGGGGCCTCTGCACGCCTACCTGCCTGCTACAGGAAACCCAAATCCTCTAGGCTCAGGAACAGCAGAGCAGAGACCGCGGTGGTCCATGGCTCACCTGAACAGCCACGTAGGAGCAGTGTCCATCAAAGTCATAGTGCCTCCCATCAAAGGTGACATAGTGGCCACTGCCATAGATGGAGCAGGTGCCATGGCACACGAACTTTGTACACTCCCAGCGTCCACTCTGGCAAGTGCTGAGAACAGTGGGAGGAGCTAGAGTGGCATGGAAGGCCCTGCCAGCCAGGGCAGGACCCAGCAGGTACCCCAGCACCCCCAAAGGGCTGCCTCACACACACTCAGGCCCCCAGCAGCCTCAGGCCAGCACAGACGTGGAGGCCACTGCCACCACTGAGTGCCACTGCCTAGCTGGCCCTCTGCGGGCCCCAGCCAGCCGCTCACCAAGTGTTGTTGCAGTCCAGCTTGATCTTGTGCCCAGGGGGGTACAGGGCCTTGCTGTGGACGCACGGGCACTCCTCCTCCTCCACACAGCCACCACGGCCATCATCCAGCAGCCCATTGGGGCATACGCAGCCACTGACACACCCTGTATGGTACTGGAGGCAGAGAGTGGGGTGCCAGTGAAAACAAACACCCCAGCGAGCCTGGAGCAGATGTCATGTGGGGGCACCTCTGACAGGGACTGGGTCCTGGACCTTAGGACTCCCCCTCAGATTCCCACTGGGAGCTATGTCCTGGGATCCCTAAGAAACTGCCATCCCTTCCAAGAATGGAAAAGTCAATAAGGAGTGCTGCATCCAGACCCCAGTGGGAGGGCAGGTAGGGGTGTGCTTGCTCTCCTCCCCCAGGCTGGTCCAGACCCCAGTGGGAGGGCAGGTAGGGGTGTGCTTGCTCTCCTCCCCCAGGCTGGTCCACCAGGCACTCACATAGCCAGCCACCAGCGTCTGGCAGCTAATGGGGCGCGGCTCCCGGGGGGCCAGGGATGTGACGTCATTGCAGTCTACCAGGATCTTTGGGGCCTTGCAGCCTGTGGGATGGAGAGGCTGCCTGAGCTCAGGCTGAAGATAGGGGCTCAGGGCCCGGGAGGCAGCCACACACAGGGCAGCACCCACTTACTCTGCCCAATCAGCTGGATCGGCCTGCAGTTCAGCCTTCCGTCCTGGCAAATGCTACGAGGAGAGGTGGAGGTGAATGGCCCGTAGGTACCATCCCCACGCATGGCGGTCTGAGGAGCCGCGGCTGCTCAGGCACAGATGCCAGCCTGGCCCTCAGGAGCCTCCCCAGACCCCTGTGCAGCCCGGGTCATCTCGGCTCTGGGCTGAGCTCCCCGCCCTACCCAGCTCCACCCATGCCTGCCCTGCCGGTCCAGTCCAGCACTCTCACCAGCGCTCGCTCTGCCTCAGGATCACTTCTCCAGCCTCCAGGTAGAACCCGTGGTGGTGGCAGGAGCATTTGGCCCGGGGCACACAGCGGCCCTTCTGGTCCAGGAAGGTGTGGTCGGGGCAGCCGCAGCCATCCACGGGTGCGAAGCCCTTCAGGCAGTGGGTGTCACCCTCAGAGAGCGAGCGGCAGGTCTGCTGGCAGGTGGTCAGGTTGTACAGGAAGATCTGTGAGCTGGGGCAGGCGTTCACGTCCTTGTCTGCAGAGCGACGCAGGGCCGTGAGCCATGGAAGACCAGCTCCAGTCCTGGGCCGGCAGCGCCCCGGAGCCTCCCCCTGCCAGGCGCCCGCCCGCCCGGCCGAGGGGTCGGAGAGCTGCCCGACCAGCCAGCCCTGCCGGAGACCTGCCCAGGAAACCGGAAGCCCGCCTCCGCGCACTCACTGCAGACGTGCTCCCGCCAGCCCCACAGCAGCACGCCCTTGGCGGCGCAGGCGTGCGCGTAGGAAGACAGGGCCGCGCACAGGCAGTCCTCGTTGTTCTGGCAGTTGCACGTGTCGTACTTGCACCTCTGCGCGAAGCCGAGGAGAGGCAGTGAGACGGGGGGCTGCTGTGCCCTGCGCGCGCACACTGCTGGTCTTCACGCCGCACAGCGCCGGGGTGAGGGCGGCACGGTGAGGGCAGACCCACCTTGTAATACTCAGTGGGGTCAACAGCCAGGTGGCACCTGCCGAAGGGCGTCTCCGTCTTCTTCAGGAGAGAGCACCAGTGCTCGGCGTAGTTCGCTAGGGGTCGGGGGGCAGAACCTCAGCGGGGCTACCCCTCTGCATGGCTCCACCCACAGTGGACAGGGTCCCCCCTCCAGGGCCCACGGACTGGGGTCTGTGGTGCCAGCCTCACCGCTCTCAATGTTGAGCGAGCAGGGGTCATCCAGCCAGTCCAGCTTGTCGTGGCAGCTTGGCTGCGCCTTCCAGGAGTTGGCAAAGCTGGCGCCCGTGGCTTCCACCAGCCCAGAAGATGTCTTGAAGTCGTCGCTCTCCAGACCATTGAAGTTCCCACAGAGGCCTGTGGGTGGCATAGGGATGGGAGGGGTTGGGCAGGGGCACAGGCGTGGGGGCGCTTGCCGGGGAGCCACTCACCCTGCACC